TATATATATATATATATATATATATATATATATATATATATATATATGTATATTATTGTACAAATGTAGTCGTATGTTTGCTGTAAATTGTATATTTTTGCTGCGCTTTTATATATACGACGATATATACGACGAATAATAATTTGATGTTGAAAATGTTGATGAAATTTCAAATATTTTTTGATACTTACTTACTTACTTATCTTCACGCACAATCCCTAACGGGGTAGCCAGAGAGAATAGATCGCCAAGTGTCACGATCCTTACATACCTCTTTCGCTTCTTTCAGGTTCATTAACTTCTTCATACATGCACGTCTAGGTATCCGAGTACTCTTGACCTTCCCCTCTTCGAGCAATTTGCTCACTTGGTCTACGAAAGTTAGTCTCGGTCTACCTCGACACCTTTTAATATTTACTTTCGCTCTATATATTTTCTTCACCATTCGGTCTTCACTCATTCGCTCAACGTGCCCAAACCATTGGAGTACGCCCCTACCAATTTTTGTGATAAGGTCATCTTTCAATCCTGCCATTTTGCGAATCTCTTCGTTTCGCTTTCGATCGGCTATGGTAACGCCACACATTTTACGAAGAGATCGCATCTCCACTGCATTCAACTTGCTTTTATGCTTCTTCTGGCATACCCTGGTTTCGCTGCAATATAACAAAGTCGGTACCAACACTGCGTTATGTATTGCAAGGCGTGCACTCTTCACCACGCCTTGCCTTTTGACTAATGCATTCAGGGCACCATTGACTTTGTTTCCGGCATCGACACGCCTATCCACATCTAAATCACATCTTCCAACCCGGCTGAAAGCGCCCCCCAAGTATACAATTTCATTTACCTGTTCTAGACATTCCTGATTTACCCATATTTCACATTTCGTTCTCTCTTCGTCCTTTTCAAATACCAGAAACTTAGTTTTATTAGCATTCAAACGGAGACCTTTAATTTCACATTCCTCTTTCATACACGTGACTAATGCCTGCAGTTCTGCTTCTGATGGTGCAATAAGCACTGCATCATCAGCATACAGCAGACAATTTACTTTAATGTCACCCAATTTCACACCCAAACAGCTATTTTTCAGCTTCTGTAAACAGCTGTCGAGATACAGTACGAACAGCCAGGAAGACATGACACAACCCTGTTTTACGCCCGCTTGGACGCTAAACATGGGTGACAGGTCATGCCCTACCCGCACACAGGCTTTACAGTCATATTAAAGTGACTGCACAGCCCTTAACACCCCCATTTCCCGAAACAGTTCCCACATTTTCTTCCTTATAACCTTGTCAAATGCTTTCTCCAGATCCACAAAAGCACAGATAATCCTCTGGTTAACACTCAGAAGCTTTTCCAGGATCATGCGGAGAGAAAACATTTGATCCGTGCATCCTCTTCCAGGTCTAAATCCGCATTGTGCCTCCCATAAGAATCTTTCCGATTTCTCTTGCATCCTACGTGTCAAAACCTTCATGTAAACTTTACTTGCTAAACTGGTCAAGCTGATCGCCCGATAGCACCCACAGTCAAAATGTGAACCTTTACTTTTATATAAAAACACAATGACCGCGGATCGCCAATCATCCGGGACATCTCTCGTCCGCCAGCACAAATTGCACAGCAGACGAAAGCTGTCCCAGACGCGAGGCCCACCGTACTTGACCATTTCAGCAGTAACTCTGTCTAGTCCCGCAGCCTTACCATATTTCAAACTTCGAATCCCACGTTCAATCTCTTTCATGCTGATGACCTCAGTGTCATCGAGGTCCGTGTCTGGCGTGCCAGTCATGGCGTCACCCCCGGATTCTTCACTAAGATCATGACACGCATACATTCTCTTCTAGAGTCTCTATAAAATTCACTCCATCGCTGCATGACGTCCGATTTTTCTGAAAGGACGTCATTGGTTCTCGAAAGCACTTTGTTCATTCTTAAGGCTGTCGCACCACTCCGGGACCTTCCAACCTCTTTCCAGAAGAGTTTGGAGTTTTCCTTAAAGTTGTGCGACAATCTCTCGTCCGCTTCTATTCTACACCTTTCACGTACTTCCTCAATCAATGTTTTCGCATGAACTTTGTGTCTTTCTTTCATCTTCTCTCTCATATGCTTATCGTTACTAGAGGCCAAGTAGTCTAACCATGCTTTTTTCTTCTTTTTTTACAGCTTCTCTCACTTCATCATTCCACCATGCATCTCTTCTTTTACTACTACCTCTTTTTGTCGTTCCACATACTTTTTCCACTGCACTTTTTTTTTTTAGGATAGGGTGACAAACGAGCACACAGTCTACCTGATGGTAAGTGGTTGCTGTGGCCCATAGACATCTACATCTATCCTCAATTACGAATCAAAATGCAGATGCGTTGTCACCCGTGAGGACTAAGATGGAATGCCTCGTTTCCATTAAAAAGGGTCTCCGGTTCTCTACACTCACCATACGAAACACAGCAGCATTAAGCTACTATTTCACGCTGGTATTCTATGAGAGCGTGGTCCTTCCCCGGTCGAGCCGACCCATTCGTGCTACAACTATACATCTAATATAACTGCAGCATGGCTCTACCACGTATAACACCATTACCATTCCATCCCTAAGGTTCTGCCATGTTCTCTCCACACATTCTTTCCTGCCATCGATGGCGTCAAGATTTTCGCCTACCCTCGTGTGATATTTGTCCCTAGTATCCGCTTCCTGAAGCTTCCAGCTTCGGATGCGACAGACCGACTGTGGTTCTGTTACTGCCGTCCGGTAGCGCCAACCCGCGAACAAACCCCTAAATCTAGTAATTACTAGATAGTGATCCGTTCCCAAGTCAACACCCCTGAACACTCGTGTATCCATCACCTGTTTTCGCAGTCGGTATAATAAAATAAATTTTATTTTTTTCATATAAAACACTAAATTATTGAATTTGGACCAGACGGGATGCTAACAAGGTCAGTCGGAGTCAGTGCGTCATAATATGTATTTTCAAAGTTTACTTTGCACTTGAATAATGTTGATGATAGTTTAATTTTTAAATAACTTTGTAAAATGCCAAATGGCTTTATTAATAATCTGCAGAAACCAATAGATTTGGTTATTTGATAATATTTTTCTACATTTTATTACTTACTAGTATTTTAATATTTATTGAAAGTTCGACTTAGGTTTAGCTTGTTATGAACTTTGTGGGTAGAATTACTAATTTTGCAGAAAAAGAAATATATTATTTATTGAATATCGACATTACACCATAAGGCTTTACTCAGTTATTTGTCATAGTTATAACGTACATTCAAGGTATTTTTTATAGAGTGAAGGTGACAGTTAAGCTCACACTCCACTTGAAGGTTTCTGTGAACAGATTCTGTGGCCCATAGATGTCTACATTTATCCTCAATTAAGAATCAAAATGCAGATGCGTTGCCCTCTTCTGATGACTAAGGTGTAATCATAGTAAAACAGAAGACTAAAAATTTAAGTTAATTTATCATTGTCATTTCAATGACGTTGATAATCATAATTGACAACAGAAATTCACTAAATTCATAATATACACGCACCCGAGTTGATATTTGACAGTTTGACAAATTTCAAAAGATTATTTACGTATCTACGTATATAAGTTCAGTTAGACTTTTTTAAATATTCAGTCAGAGGTAAACAATAACAGAGTAATACATTGTAAGAAAATTAAGTGACTGCAAATTAAAATGTAATCTAATAATCAACTATTTCTTTACCACTCGCTTAGAACGGGGAGTAGGCAATACCATACAGTCCCCGGACTTTTAGAAGCATCTTCAGGATTTTTGTCATTCGATTTTGGTGTATGTGTTGACGTTGGGCCAGTGAAGATGAGCTCAAGACAGAGCAAACATTCCTCTTAATAACAAATTCCCATCCGATCCTATAATTAACATGTACCAATTACGTGTTCAACATTTTGTAATTTGCATCCGATCCTATAATGAATATGCGCGGTCAGTGAGAAGGTAATTCTGTTCATACGCTCCATAATCTTGCAGATTACATATTTTGCAAGTTCTAAACGTTATATCAAAAACACATACCACATTCGTCAACTTCAAATCATAGATATATGTTTATAAATCTATATAAAAATTAAATGTGGTCTAAAACCAGCCATAAGAAAAGTAAACCCTATCATAAATAAGAAATTCATTTATTCACTTATTATAACAACCTATCAAAAGTCCATCGCTGCACCTCAATAGATTAGTTCTTGAGGAGTATAACTGCCATATCTGCCACAATTGGCTGGCAGGTTGGCAATCCCAGTTTTATATTATTTTGATTTGTTACCAGACAAAGGCTGCTGCCCACCTCGTGTTTAATTGTCCCGTGTCGTCATTTATGATATGGCGTAATGTATTAATATATGCGATATACGCCGCCACTATACAGCATAGATAAAAAATAGAGTGTAAGAATTATTTCATCACTAGTCTTAAATTTATATACGTCTTTTAACTAAGTATAAATTTTTGTTGAAGTCTTAAATATCTATCCACCCCAGCAATTTAAAAGAGAAAGTTGCACACAAATATCAATATTTTTATTATTTTACTTATACTGGACGTAATTTGATAAGATTTTAACGATAAAGCGATACATGTAATTGTAATTTCATATGTAACACGAAAGTGCAACAACATTTATTTTAAAAAGTATAAGTATAATATTTAACTGCACGAGAATGATAAACGCTAATACTATTCACAACATCAAGAGATTTTTATATATTTTATTATGGTTTTAGTTCTTTAACATTATTTTTAACATCAACACGTAATACTTAAGTAACATCAACACATCTATAACTTCTCGAAGGTAAATTGTAACAAAATTCGATATATCGACAACAGAAATAGACATAAATCGAATACATATTTTGTAAATTAACATAATAGGTATTTGAAACTAAAGTAAAATTGGCACAATTGACTAGGTACGTATAAAGAAATGTGTGTAATTAAAGCGCTTAAAAACTATGTGGTATATACTGCTTGTGGCCAGCGGCTTCTGGTTGCCAGTTATTATTTTGTTGCACCAGTATAGCATTCTGTTGAAGGCGTTGTTGTTGTTGTTGTTGATGTAACGCCATCACATTGCTGTTGAAATCATATTGACCCTGAGTGCCTGGAGCCCTATTTATATCATGATTTTGATTGCGATACGGATGTTGTCGTTGATTATTATATTTTTTATAGCTACCTGAGTCTCCAAGGGAATACGAGCGCCTGGTTTGACCTTTTGGGTGGGGAACAGCTTCCAAAACTCCAATGACTTGACTCTGATTATGTGTCATTTGTTGCAGTGTAGGGACTTGTACATTTGCAGCCTCTGGGTTATGACCCTACAAAAGGAAAATAAATTTATAAAGAAACTTATATATTATAATTCAGAAAGGAATATCTTTTCAATTTGAAATTTAATTTATGATTAATATTTACTATAATCTATAAAATAAACATTAAAAGTACCATAATATTTAAATTCATAAAGATGCATGTATTTACGTGTAATTAATACATTTTGTAAGGTTTTAATTATGAAGGAGGCAAAATGAAATTTAATAGTATTTGCATACCCTAGGCCAGTTGTTCGTGTTGTACGTTCCTACGCTTTGAACTTGCGGATATCTGTTGTTAGATTGCTGCATTCTACATTGTGGTTCTTCGTGTTTCTGTTGAGTGGAAAATTGATACCCAATTTGTTGGTTCTGTCGAAATTCCTGAAGCTGTTTTATATGTTGAGATAATAAAAGCCTCGTTTCATCATTCATATCAATTTTGATATTACTTTTGTTGACATCAATATAAGATGTCTCATCTGGTGAGTTTATTGTAAAATTTGGCATTTTATCGTTCAAAATTTCACTAATTAACTCTGATACCAAAGTAAATGTTCTATTAAAAACGGTCTTCATATTTTCTTCATTCACGATTTCAGGATGTAGCATTTCTTTAATAACGGAGTTATACACATACATGATTATTGATTTATTTTTTTCTGATTGAAAACTGCTTCGCAACGAGATTCATTGCCAAAATTCAATATATTTTCATTCCTTGTGTTTTGTGAATGGTTATTAACTAAGCTGTCATTGGAATTTTTTTGTGTTGTGAGTGACAAAACTTTCATAATATTATTTCTGATCATAATTTTAATGACATTGTACTCCTCAATAGAAATAACTGAGACTTCATCAGTTTGTGTATTTACTGATCTTTTTTGGTCATTTTTATTGTTAAGTGTGTTAATAATGCTGGAAACAGCCTCTTTTATAGCTTTATGTTCTTCATTATCAACGGGTCCATTTAAAAGTAGCTTACATGTGATAATTTTAACTTATTCAAATTGGAAGTTTCTTGATTATCGTCAAAATTAAATATAATTTCTATCTTTTCACTATTAAAATTCTTGTAAGGATGGTTTTGGTCAAAAGTTTCGTCAGAATATTTGACGTTTATTTTCCGCTCTACCCTTTCTGTATTGCCAAATGAATTTGGTTCCACATTTGACTGTAATTGGCTTCTATATTTACTGTCTATATTGTTTTTTGTTAAATTATACATATTTTCTAATTTCGGATTTGAATTAGTTTTGAAAAAATCAGAAAATGTATTTGGAGTTGTTACCACTGAATCATTTATCTGTTTTCCGATTTCTTGAAATGTAGATGTTTGGGGTAATACTTGAGAATGTGTGCTGTAAGACTGTAAACGGTTATTTATTTTATGATATCTGCAACAACGGGAGAAATATATTTCATTTTATTTCAAAATTGATTATCATCATGATTAAATATAATTTCCGTCTTTTCACTATTAAAATCGTATCAGGACAGTTTTGGTCCAAAGTTTCGTCTGAATATTCGACTTTTATTTTGGCTTCTACACTTTCTTTTTTGCAAAATGAATTTTTTTTTATATAAGAAGGGGCAAGCGAGCATGCGGCTCACCTGATGTTAAGTGACTACCGCCGCCCATGATCAACCGCAACACCAGGAGAATTGCGGGTACGTTGCCGGCCCTTTAGAAAGGAGTAAGCTCTTTTCTTGAAGGTCCCCAGGTCGTATCGGTCCGGAAAAATCGCCGGTGGTAAACTATTCCATAGAGAGGTTGTACGTGGAAGAAAACTCCTTGTGAAACGTACAATGGTGGACCGCCAAGCATCCAGATGGTGTGGATGGTATTGGGACGTTTGCCGTGTAGTGCGTTCACGAAATTTGGCGGCTGGGATTAATCCGAACAATTCCTCAGAGCACTCCCCGTGATAGATGCAATAAAATACGCAAAGAGATGCAACATCTCTTCGCAGCGCCAATGAATCGAGCCGATCGGAAAGCACTCGGTCGTCGACGATTCGAGCCGCTCTGCGCTGAATGCGGTCAAGTAGATGGAGCTGGTACCGAGGAGCCCAAGCCCAGAGATGGGAACAGTATTCCATGTACGGCCGAACCTGCGACCTGCGCCTGTAACCTTGTAAAGTTACAGGCGGTGTGGTGGCATGAAATACTCTGCTGAGCACGCAAGCTTTTTAGAGGCCAATTTGGCCTTCCCTTCCAAGAGACCACGAAACTGCACGTCACTCGATATGTCGACGCCGAGGATTCCGATACTGGCTGAGGCAACAAGGGGAGTGCCTTGAAACTGAGGGGATACGACAAAGGGGTTCTTTTTAGCGGTTAACGCGCAAACTTGTGTCTTTTGGGGGTTAAACTGGACTAGATTTAGTCGTCCCCAATCCGAGATTCTGGTCAGCAAAAACTCGACTTCAGACACAAGTTTATCCCGGCACTCGGAGACGTTTTTCCGAGAAATATTGGCTCGGCCGGTGTAAAGAGCATCACCAGTGCTGTCATCTGCATAGCAATGAATGTTACGGGTATGCAGTATATCATTGATATGCAGAAGAAACAGCGTTGGCGATAGCACGCAGCCCTGTGTAACACCAGCATTAATTGGCTTGCAATCGGAGCTTGCACCGTCTACAACGACCTTGATGCTCCGATCTGCAAGAAAACTGGTGATCCAATCGCACAATTTCTCGGGAAGCCCATAGGAAAGGGAGCTTCGAAAGAAGCGCTTTGTGCCAAACCCGATCGAAGGCCTTCGCAATGTCCAAACTAACGGCCAATGCATCCCCCTTGAACACTACTGCCTCCGCCCATCTGTGAGTTAGGTAGACCAGAAGATCACCAGCTGACCGACCACGGCGAAAACCGTATTGGCGGTCACTAATCAGCTGGTGATCTTCAAGGTACCTCATGAGCTGGCAGTTTACAATGGACTCCATTGTTTTGGAGAACAAGGAGGTGATGGCGATTGGCCGGTAGTTGGACGGGTCAGAGCGGTCGCCTTTTTTAGGGACCGGGTGGGCGTAAGCCGTCTTCCAATGATTTTGGGACTACGCCTAGGGAGTAGGAGTACCGGAAAAGACGCGTTAAAACCGGTGCCAACTCTGGAGCACACGTCCTCAGCACAATTGGGGAGATTTCGTCAGGCCCACTCGACTTGTTGATGTCCAGGGAGAGGAGTGCTTTGCGAACCGAGTTGACACTGAATCATTAATCTGTTTTTTTCGGTTTCTAGAAATCTAGATGTTTGGAACAATACTTTTGAATGTATGCTGTAAGACTGCAACAACGGAAGAAATATATATCATTGGATTTGAAATGGGACACACATATGTCACCAACAAACCGCGTTTGTCGTAGGAGTTGACTATTGGCAATGCCATTAAATACTAATGGCTTCCCATAGGTGACGGTATAACCACTTCGAGTAACCCATACATAAAATTCTCACGCCAGTGACGCACAATAGCATTGAAAGTACGATAGCACATGGTACTACGACCGTCATTCCAACTGCCAAGCGTGGCGAGTCTCGTATTTACCACTGGGCTTTGGATCTTTTGATTTATGATGAGGCATTAAATAACAATGTATTATGTACATGCTGTTTTTAAATTGGAATAAACAATAATTTTATTTATACACTCATTACAGCCCTTCACAAGACTACTACTGAACATAAACTTTCCCCAAGGAATGCGACAAAGCATGGTCCTGAGCCACCTGCATCCACCGACTTCCTGCATGTCTTACCGGATCGTCACTCAATCCAGTGGGAGGCCGCCCACACTTCACTTACTGATGCGAGGTGTTATAATTCTAAATAGAACATAATAACAACAATACATAATTTTTTATTCCTTTTTCAATCATAGTTGTTATATTAAGTTATATAAAACCCACAAAAATAATTTGTACACATTAGGGCTCTCGTTACACTAAGACAGTGCAATTTACTGTTTCGGATTTTATCACGGATTGTAGTCATACACTAGCCTTTATATAAAAATATATTACATTCCATATATTCTTCTATTTTATTCATTCTATTCTACTCTATGATATGTGTAAATAATAATTTAATAATTTCCGATAAGATAAGTTAAAACTTATCAATAACTCGATCACAGCGCCACCTATCAGGTTTAGATTTCGTGATTACCTTTTCTGGCATTACTCTACGTCTATAAACAGAATTTGTTAATAACTTGTCTGCAGCGGCATCAATCGTGTCTACTATGAACCAACGAATTAACATAAAGAATTTTTTAAAAATAAATTCAATCAGTCAATCGTTCTTCAAAAGTTCAGAATATAGGTTTTAAAATACAAAGCAAAACTAAGTACCTAATTTTTAGATACATGGCTAGGAAAAAAGAATGTTAAACACTAATAATGATTACGTATTATTGATAACGCTATATATGAGATATATAATACATGTTTTTATTATACACTCCATAATCATAATAAACGTTTTTCTATTGAAAGAAAATAAAAACGTGGAATGTCGTTATAATATAAAGCTTAAGATACTCGTACATACATTTACACCGGAAGTGAAACTTTATAGATGGTCGCTTTGGTGATCTATTGTCTTTGCTTATATTTTGTGTCATTTTATTTTCCTTCAGATTTCGGTAATTCCAACTAAGGTAATTAAAAACTATAATGTCAAATTATTTTCAATAAATCTCGTAATTCTAAAAGTATGTTTTTAGCGTACATAATTTTAAAAGTACTTTTAATAAAACGCTAAGATATTTTTAACAAGAAAAAGATTATTTTTAAATTATAAATCAAAGAAATAACGAATGCAACTATAATTTATCTAAAAATTACCTTTTGCGATTTTAGACTTGATTTTGAAACGCCAGGAACCAGAAATATTTAAAATATGCTTCTCAAAGTTTCAGCACTGTATTTTTACTTCGATGTAGCCAGTTTGCGTTATTTTGCGCAACTGATGCGAGCTTCCGACTGCTATCTCCCTTTCATTTGAGGTAGGGCGGTGAAGTAACGCCCGCCCAACGCGAGGGCAGTGCTTAAGCTTAGTGCGACACCCACCTCTGAGTTTCGCAGTACCGATGTATATAGCAGTATCGCAGGTACATGTTATTATTTTATTTTATTTTATTATGATTCTTTACATATTTACTTATCTTTGTCTAGATAAAGGGAGGACTTGGTTATTTTTCTATAGGATCGGGTGACAAACGAGCACACAGTCCACCTGATGGTAAGTAGTTACTGCGGCCCATAGACATCTACACCTATCCTCGATTACGAATCAAAGTGCAGATGCGTTGTCACCCGTGAGGACTGAAATGAAATGCCTCGTTTCCATTAAAAAATGGTCTCCGGTCTCTACACTTGCCATACGAAATACAGCAGCGTTAAGCTACTATTTCAAGCTGGTATTCTGTAAGAGTGTGGTCCTTCCCCGGTCGAGCCGATCCATTTTTGGTACAACTATACTACTAATATAAATGGAGCATGGCTTTACCACACATAAATTACAACTTTTTCAATGACGTTTTAATACGTGGTAGAGAAACGCTGCAGGTACATTAGTTGTAGCACAAATGAGTCGGATCAACCGCGGTAGGATCACGCTCTCACAGAATAAC